TGATTTGCTTTATGGACACAAATGGATTTGTGGGTTTAAAATTTTTATTATAATCAAATATTTCTAACTTAAACTAATGGACACTAACTTGTGGCTTTACTCTCATGGATTTTGTTGCAACTGTTAAAACTAGTGTTACCAGACCTCATAAGTCTGTGGATGTAACTGGAGGTCACAGTAACTCACATTTCACCAACTCTTTGCTATACTTCAGCCTCTGCAAAGTCTTCCCCATTTATGTCCAGGGAGTCCTCAGTTTTTGTCCTAGTTATTTTCCCATTTTGACCACCCTCTTTGGTATCAACTATCCAGGAAATCACTCAGGATTTTTCCCCATTGTCTCTACCACTGGTGCCAACTGTAGGGTACTGATGTCCATGCCAAGGGCTCTATCTCACAATCTTCCCAAAGTTTTAACTTGGTGCAGGGGGACTTGGGAGGTGGGCTATGTTCCATGCTGAAGCAGGAACTCTGTGTCGTGCCCCACGCCGTGTTCTGCTGTATCATCCAGGCAGAGCTGTGTTATACCCCAAGTGTCTCCTCAGGTTCCTTTTGCTGTGTAAGTCAGCTCATTCAGATGGGTACCTTCCAGCCTCAGGCCCCACAGAGCTCTTCAGACATTGTTAGACATGATCAAGTATATATGAATCCCAGCAGTGGTCACAACTTTGGCTCAAGATGAACCTCTTATCTTTCTCTTACCACTCTTTTTTCCAATGTGCTTTGTTTGGATTTAAATGTAAGACAGCTTTAAAAAGATTCCCAAACTCACTTGTAGTTTTAACCTACTTTGGACTAGAGAAAACAGTTCTAGTGATGAATACCGTAATGTTTTATAGGTTTGTATTGGAAGGAAAAGAAGTTCGTGTTAATATGTCTTGTGCAGTATTTATCACCGTGAATCCTGGGTAAGTGTCAGTGAGTCTGATGGGAGTGGACACAAACCAAAATCCTTTTATTAAATCTTATCTATAGATGGTGTTGTCTGACATCGTATCTCTGTCATTCACCCTTCACCACCCCCTGAACCTTTCCACTATGGACACCATTTATGAACAGCTACAACTCTACACCTATTCATATGGATAATTTCACATTAACCTTCTGACCCAGACACATTTTTACTTCATGAATACCTAGACAGAAAGGAAAAGGTCATCAGTTTTTCACAAAGAGGACACAGGGAGAAAAGCTGATGAGAGTGGCAAGAGGAATAAGAATATGGTGGTTATAAGGAATGGATATTGGGCAAGTTCAACAAATATCTACATGAATGCTACAATAACCCAGGGAATCAGAGGGAACTGTTGTGAGTTGAATTATTGGAGGAGGCATAGGAAGAAAATATGATCAACCAGGAAACACTGTGGTTTTTATTTTATTTTCAGATAATGGTCACATAGAAAGCCAATAGAATTATTTGAAGGAAAAGTATATTATGTGGATCCTCATTTGAAAAATTGAAAAGTGGTGGTTTTGTTTTTCTTTTCCTCTTCAGGTATAGAGGTCGAATAGAGCTTCCAGATAACTTAAAATCTCTGTTTCGCCCAGTGGCAATGATGGTGCCCCATTATCAAATGGTTGCTGAAGTAATACTATTTTCATTTGGTTTCAAATCTGCAAAATCACTTTCTGTAAGGCTAGCTAACCTTTATGAATTAGCTAGCAAACAGCTCTCACAACAGGTAAAGAACTACTTTTCTTCAAATATTTAAAGGTGATTATACAAAAATAACTTTAAATAATACTTTTCTGGTATTGGTCCAGGAATGACCTGGGACTTTACCAAATAATGGAGCTAGAATTCCTATCAACACATGAAGTCCATATACAAGCTTAGGTGTAAGGCAAAATGTAAAATCAATGAAGATGCCAAGCCTTTCCTCCAAGATCTGGGGAGTAATCAAACATCTGTTATTTTAAATTATAGACTATTTTCTCCATATAAGGAAGTTAATATCTAGAGCAGTTGTGCTCAAACTTTATTGTGCATCAAAATAATTTGGAGGACTTTTTAAAACACAAAAGGCTGGGCCTTGCCCCAAGTTTTGAATTCTGTGTGTCCGGTAGGGGGCTCAAGAATTTGCATTTCTAACAAGTTCTCAAGTGTTACTGATGCTGCTGGTCTGAGTACCACACTTTGATAATTATTATTCTAGGATATGCCAGCTTAATGAGTATTTGTTTCTTACCCAAAATGGTTTGAACAGCTAGCCACATTTTCCCAAAATGTGGAGAAATTTATCTTTTAATATTCTTTAAATTTATCTCTGTTCAGTTCAGAGAATATTGAATTCAGATACTGATAGTTTTTAACACCTTTAATACTTGTTGTTCTTTCTCTTAAGAAAGAGACTTTTAAAAAGAGCTTCAGTTTGGAAGAGAAATTAGAGCATCAGACACAGAACTGAGGGTTTCTTGGATTCATATCATTGTTTCCCTCCATAGAATAAAAGACCAGTCATTTAACTATATACTGTATGCATGTATTTTCAAATGGCTCTGTTTTTTCTTTATGAATTTTAATTACTCAAATATTTTAATGTTTGATAGGACCATTATGATTTTGGCTTGAGGTCCCTGAAGACAGTTTTAGTAATGGCTGGAAAGAAGAAACGGGAGTTTAAATGGTCAGTTGAATTTTGAACTGAGTGTTAGGTAAAAGGGAGTTATATACCACTGGGGAACTAATTTGTAGAATTTTAAGTAATCATGACAGATTAAAACAGGGAGCCCCCAGATTGTCATAGTAAAATACGGTAGAGGTTATTTAAGGATATGAAAGAAGAGGAAAAATAATGCACAAATTCACTGAGTACCTTTCCCTAATATTAGGGAAAGGTACTCAGTGAATTTGTGCATTTTTGTGTATTTGTGCTTTACATATATATAATAAAAGATATAATGGAATAAAGGACCCCATGTAGAAGAGCAATAAGTTAATGAGAAATGTCAAACCTATATGAATAAACCTGTATGAGAGGTGTGTAAAGCCCATATAAGGAAAACTTTAAAATAGAATTGAAAGAAATGAAAATGTGAATAAATGAAATAATATACCACATTTAAAATATCATAACATCTTTTTTTAAATTTCAGTAGATTTAAGGGGTACAAATTGTATTCTGTTACATGTATATATTGCATAATGGTGAAGTCTGAGCTTTTAGTGTACACATCACCCAAATAGTGTACATTGTACCCCATAGGTAATTTTTCATCCTTCATACCCTCCCACCTTACCCCCTTTTAGTTCTCCAGTGTCCATTATGCACTTTGTCTTTCCTTGCATAGCCATAGCTTAATCCCCACTTAAAGTAAGAACCCATGGCATTTATTATTCTGTTCCCAAATTACTTCATTTAGGATAATGGCCTCCAATTCTCCATCCAAGTTGCTGCAAAAGAAATTATTTTGTTCTGTTTTATGGCTGAGTAGTATTCCATGGTACATATGTACCACAGTTTCTTTATCCACTCATCAGCTGACGGGCAGTCAGGTCAATTCCATATCTTTGCCATTGGGAATTGTGCTACAATAAACATATGCGTGCAGGTGTCTTTTTGCTATAATGATTTCTTTTCCTTTGGGTAAATACACAGCAGTGGGATTATAGGATCAAAGGGTACATCTACTTTTAGTTGTTTGAGAAATCTCTATACTTATCTCCATAGAGACTGTACTAATTTACATTCCCACCAACAGTGTATAAGCCTTCCCTTTTCATTGCATACCTGCCAACATCTGTTATTTTTTGACTTTTAATAATGTCTGTTCTAATTGGAGTAAGATGGTATCTCATTGTGGTACTAATTTGCATTTCCCTGATGATTAGTGATGGTGAGCATTTTTTCATATGTTGTTGGCCAGTTGTCTATCTTCTTTTGAAAAATGCCTGTTTATGTCATTTTCCCACTTTTTTTTTATATGTATGAAACCTTTATTCCTAATGCAGATACAGATACAAATGCATGTCATTTGCCCACTTTTTAATGGGGTTGTTTATTTTTTTCTTGGTGAGTTATTTGTGTTCCTTGTAGATTCTGGATATTAGTCCTTTGTCAGATACATGCTTTGGACATATTTTCTCCCATTCTGTAGGTTGTCTATGCACTCTTTTATTTCTTTTGCTGTGCAGAAACTTTTTAATTTAATTAAGTCCCATTTGTCTATTTTTGTTTTTGCATTTGCATTTGCATTTGCTTTTGGGGTCTTATTCATAAATTCCTTGCCTAGGCCTGTGCGCAGAAGAGTTTTTCCTAGGTTTTCCTCAAGGCTTTTTATTGTTTCAGGTCTTACATTTAAATTTTTAATCCATCTTGAGTTAATTTTTGTATATAGTGAGAAATGGGGATCCAATTTCATTCTTCTGCATATGGCTATCCAATTTTCCCAGCACCATTTATTGAATAGGGTATCCTTTTCTCCGTGGATGTTTTTCTCTGCTATGTCAAAGATAACTTGGTTGTAAGTATATGGTTTTATTTCTGGGTTAGCTATTTGGACCCGTTGATCTATGTTTCTACTTTTATGCCAGTACCATGATGTTTTGGTTACTATAAACTTGTAATATAATTTGAAGTCAGGTAATGTGATGCCTCCAGTTTTGTTCTTTTTGCTTAGGATTGTTTTGGCTATTCGGGTTCTTTTTTGGTTCTACATGAGTTTTAGAATTTTTTTTTCTAATTCTGTGAAAAATGATGTTGGTATTTGATAGGAACATAAGGTTGACTCTCAAATATACCATCAATGTGTTTAAATTTTAAAAATCCAAAAAGCAATGTGTTTCCTAGGGCTGCCATAGAAAATTACCACAAGCTTGGTGTCGTAAAACAACAGAAATATATTTTCTCACAATACCTGAAGCTAGAAATCTGAAATCAAGATTGTGGGCAGGGCTGCTCTCTCTCCAGAGACTCTTGGGAAGATTCCATTCCTTTCCTCTTCCACCTTGTGGTGGTTGCTGGCTAAGGCCACATCACTCCAGTCTCGGCCTTCATCTTCACATCCCCTACTCTTCTGCATGTCCCTGCATCTCTCTGCCTCTCTCTTATTAGGATACATGTAATGGCATTTAGATCTTGATAATAATCTAGGATAAACTCTTCTTATGATTCTTTTAATCACCTCTTTTGGCATATTAGATAATATTCACAGATTCCAGGGAATAATTCTAGATGTATTCAGTGAATATATCTTTGCAGGGGCATTTTTCTGCCTACCACAGGCATTTTTTTCCTTCTTTTCCTTAAAATAATTTTCTAAATCTCTTCTCTTGTTTAGAAAAAAACTAATCATCCAACAGCTGGAGCCCTAAGACACCCTTGGTAGGAAAGATTTGCTTGTCAACATGCAGAGAATTAACATCTCTTGAAGTACACACTTGAAACATTTTAGGAATCTTTCTATAGTACTGGGCCACAAAGTAAGTCTCACCTAATTCCAAAGAACCGATATCATGAAGACCATCATAATGGGTAAAATAAGGTTATGCTAGCTATCTTTTTCTTGAATTTTAGTTAAATGTTGACATTAATCTAAAGCTTTTATAGTTTATTCTTAAGTTGCAATAGAAAAATCCAATGGTAATTTCACAAGCCATTTCTGAAACTACTCTTTTGTAATATTTTAGTGAAGTTTTGCCTTTATCTGATAACAGCATATTGTAACAATATAATATTTTATATAAGCTATTATCTCTCCATCTGTATTCAATACTTGTCCCCTCCCAACCAGACGTACTAGTCATACCTGACTTTTTTTTCATTTTCCTTTAATATAAAGCAAGATCTGTCATGGGAAAAATATTAAAAGGTCAAGGTTATTCCCTAGGACCCCTCTAGTGAAATCTGGAGCATTTATCCTCTCTGATGTGGCCCCCTCTGTTTGACTTCAGGTGGGCTGTTGCCTTCTCTCTACCAAAACACGTTTAGAAGCCTCAGAGATATATTCTTAGGGAAATGTAAATGACTAACATCAATTCCAACCGAATAGTAAAGTGGTTATAAGAATGCGATGGGTACGAAATTACAGTTAGATAGGAGAAATAAGTTCCGATGTTCTATGACAATGTATGGTGACTCCAGTTAACAATATTGTATATTTCAAAATAACTAGAAGAGAGGATTTTGAATGTTCTCACCACAAAGAAATGACAAATGTTTGAAGAGATGGATAAGCTAATTACTGGATTGGATCATTATACAATGTATACATGTATTGAAACATCACAGTGTAACCCATAAATATGTACAATTATTATGTATCAATTAAAAATAAAACAAAACAAACAATAGATTGGCCTTTTAAATAAAGAATCCTCATTGAGTCCTAGTTCAGCCATTTGCCATTTGTATGACATCGGGCATGTTACTTAATTTTTCTGAGTATCAGTCTCTTCCCACTTCTTAGATTGTTGGCAAGATTAATGAAATTACTTGTTAAAGAATTAATCAAAACTCCTAGTTAAAAGTACTCAGTAAATTTTAGCTATTAAAAAACTTTAAAAGACTTTAAAAACTATCACCATCCTGATTAAAAAAAAAAACTTCAGACATCAATAGACAAAAGAATAGGAGAGACACCTTTGCAGGGAATACTTTTCTTCCTCTCCGTCTCTAAAATCATATCCTATCACATGTAGTTACTTATTTTCCTTTTGATTACATGTTTAATATGTACAATACATAGCAAAGTATTTAACATGTGAAATAATATCATTATGGAATAGCAGATATATTATGTGATAACTTAGGAGGCTTTTGTTAAAATTACAGAAAACTCAAGTTGGCTTAAACAGCAGAGGGAATTTATTGTTTTACCTAATCCGAAACTCAGAGATGGGCAGAGTATGATTACTTTGATTAGGGTTTCAGCTTAAATTCTGAGATATTCTCGACACTGCAGTCCTTCATGTATGCCGGCTTGTCTTCAGGCTGGCTTCTTTTTTGATGACAAGATGACTTTAGTAATAACTGGGGTTATCAATACTGTTGAGGTGAAGTCCTGAACTTCACTCTGAATGGACAGGTCATCTGTCTACCCTTGAATCACTGTGTCCAGGTGACTGCCATGACACTGATTGATTAGAGCTGAGCTTATGTTCCTTTAGTGAATATTTGTTATGCCACATAATTGCTTTCCCCAAACTCCCTTATAACTATGGCTTTGACACAAACAACCTTGGCAAATCAGACACAACTGCTGAACATAATGGGAAAAAAAATAAGATACAAGCAGAGTTCATTCTGGCAAGGGTCACAGCAGTGGCAGTAGCTATAGTCCAGTTACCAGAAATAGCAGAGGCAGAGAGCAGTTCTAGTGTCACCATCAGTAATGTATTGGTGTGACAGGCACTGCTCTCTGGATCCACTGATGGTGGCAGTCATGTCATCACAAAACTAGTTCTGTAGTATGATTTTGCTATTGTTCCCAACTGCATAGCCTGTGAGCCTAGTTCTGGCCCTCCTAGAGATTTTTAATAAGCCAGTATGTTATTTTTATTTTATATTAGCCTAAATTCATTTTTGTCATTTGCAGCTAAAAAGCCTGACTTTATACAACACCCATCCCCGATTCAGTGTCTGAGGAATGGCATTACTTTAATTATTCTAGACCAGTCAGAGCCCATCCCTAAGAGCTGAGGACCTGATTAATCCCACCCAAAGGCTGGGCGCGGTGGCTCATGCCTGTAATCCTAGCACTCTGGGAGGCCGAGGCGGGTGGATCGCTCAGGGTCAGGAGTTCGAGACCAGCCTGAGCAAGAGTGAGACCCCGTTTCTGCTAAATAGAAAAATAAGCCGGGCATGGTGGCGCATGCCTGTAGTCCCAGCTACTCGGGAGGCTGAGGCAGGAGGATCGCTTGAGCCCAGGAGTTTGAGGTTGCTGTGAGCTAGGCTGACGCCACGGCACTCACTCTAGCCAGGGCAACAGAGTGAGACTCTGTCTCAAAAAAAAATAAAAAATAAAAAATAAAAATAAAAAAAATAAATAAAAAATAAAATAAATAAAATTAAAAAAAAATCCCACCCAAAATACATGGCTGCTATTCAGTGAGGGAGAAGAGAAAAGGACATTGGGATAGCCACCCTAAAAAAGAATATTAATTGTCTTTAATGTCAGCAAAACAGACTTACTAATTTGTTCTTTATGTTTGTTTTCTTATACCATTAAAGTGACACCAGTGACAATGTTTCTGAAGCAGATGAAATTCTGATCATTATTGAGGCTATAAGAGAAGCTAGTTTACCAAAATGTCCTCCTGAAGATGTCTCACTTTTTGAAAAGATTATAGGAGATATTTTTCCTAGAGTGACAGTTTTAAAAGCAAATCAACTTGCCTTGGAGGTAAAAAGACCTTAAAATCATCACGGATTATTTAAATGTGGAATATCAATTAAGAAACTAGATGTCAATTAAAAGTATTAGAATTCTTCCTGAAATATTCTATTTGTGTTATAATTTGGGGGATAAAAATACTTGGAGATATATTTCCCCTTGGGGAAGAAATACCTTTCAGTGCATCATGGCCTAAAGGAAAAAACAAACTGTGTACCTTTGGGCAAGGAAGGCCATTACCTGCTTTGTCTCTCAATTTTCTCCTCTTTCAGATAATGATAATAGTGTCTGTTCTTCCCACTTTGAAGGAGTGCTTTGATAATAAAATTAGATCAAAGTTATGAAAAAGACTTAAAATGTAAATGCTTTGTAATCATTAAAATTAAATATTATAATTGTAGAGTTCTTTATTGTTTCTCTTATAATATACAGCCTCATAGTCATTGCCTTAGTCTAGGTAGGATCCCAGTATCTGTTGCTAATACTATTATATGGTTTCCTACCACTCCCTGCACTCCAGTTGTTTTGATATGGCCACCAGAGTTGCTTTCCTAAAAATCTGTGTTTGATCTATATTGTTCCCTTTCAAGGCAAGTGCTTTTAGCACAGCTTTGGTCTTCCCCACACTTCCACTCCCATTATGTTGATGTTATGTAGAATTTTAGTTCCTGGTTGCTTTGGAAATATTTTCTCCCTTTCTTTTTCCTTGGACTTAACTGTTATGTACAATACACACATTCTCTCTCTCTCTCTCTCTCTCTCTCTGTCTCAGAAAATAGTAAACTAACAAGGTATTTTATCAAACTTACTTTTTATATGTCTTGTAGACTTCTCTTCAATTTATTCCTCCTTTTAAGTACTTCTTTGAGAATGTTTTCAAATTAGGTTTTTATGTAGCAAACCTTTTGAGAACTTTAATACCTGAGACTGTATTTGGTATGCCCTGATATTTGAATGGCAATTTGGTTATAAAATTGCAAGTTTAAAGTTCTTAGCCTTTATATTAAAATATTTAATACCTTAAAAATACTATTCCATTTTCCTCTTGCCCTGATGTCACTTTTGAAAGTGTCACTGTCACTTTGATATTTGTTCCTTTGTGGTTTATCTGCTTTTTCTCTCCATATGCTTTTAAAATGGTCACTTTGTCTTTGATATTCATAATCTCACTATGAATTCTCCAGTTAGGACCTTTGGTTCTCTATTTGGCCTCGTAATATGTAGTCTTTTATTTTGAGTCCTCTAAATTAACAGGAGCTTTATACTTGAGATCATTTGTTCCACATCATTGAAAGAGTTGAACTTTTCTGGACCAGCAATTTGTAGGTACAAACTCTAATCTAACTGAGCTTAACTGTTTTCTTAATACTTCATGTATTTTGCATTTTACAGATCATCTTTGTTTCCTTACATTAATGACAATGAAATTTGATATTTTTTTTCCTGAGGTTTCTAGAAGTACAGTGGATATTTGTCTCTAAACAAACTATTGCCAAAATTTTGAAGATTTTTATTTACATTTACAGTTTGAGGATTTTTACTTTGATAGAAAAAAGAAGGAAAATGACAGTTGGCAAGTTTTACTTTCTCTGTCTTATGTAAGCATCTTTCTATCTCTCCCAGGCAGGGCTTACAAACTCTCCACTCTCCTTTATCATAGTTATAAGTTTTGGGTGCCTCTTATGTTACGTTTAGCATTTTTCAAGTCACAGTTTAAAAAATAGCATTACCACATACGCATTAATGGTTTTACTTTTGAGCCTCATTATATATTCATCTTCTCATCAGTTTTACGAGTCAGTGTGTGGCAGTTTGAGCTTATGGAACAGTTTTCTATACAAGCGTATCAGTTTTTCAGCTACTTGCCCCATTTGTATAATTTTTACGTTAATAAATATGTAAGCTATCAACTGTTTAATAAATTGTTACCAAACTATAATATATGGTTCATAGAAATGTTATACAAAGATCATAATTTAAAGTTATGATTTTAATATTAAATTTGGAGTAATTCAGTCTTTTATTTAATGTTGTACTTTTGATGGCTTACATAAAGACTAGCCATGTATAACATATCCACATAGAAATATATCTTAATAAAGAAATACTCTGAAGGTGTGCTATTTACACTGTTTATTCATTTGAGATATAAGGATCTGAATCACATATAATAGACAACTGTGCTCTATCGAACTTACTCACATAACTATCTCTAACAATATCGAAAGTATGTGGGAGTAAGTATCTCAGAGTGACCAAAAGATTAACTGAGAATTACTGAAACCATGTCATCGAATAAGAACTACATTACTTTGCCACTCAGTTGACCCCAAGGAGCATCATATACAGCTGTGAATACTTTACAGTAGGATTATGATTTTATTTCAAATCTTCCAAAGTAAGAAATTTGTGAAAACTCTTAGCCAGGCAGGATGACCTGTCTGAATATCTCTTCTTTGATTATCCCAATTCTGCTAATCTATGCATTCAACGCTATTCTTATTCTACACCTTGTGACTTCTTGCATATATCCAAGCAGGTGTAGAGGCTTGTACTATTAACTGCATAGCATTTATAGCCTCTGCATCTAAAACTGCTTGAAGTTCAGGCCTTAAGTGGGCAGTCTCATCAACTCCATTTAAAAGAGTTTGCTCTTTAAAAAATCCTTTCATCTGTTTGCCTACCTCCTGTTAGTCTTGCCACATGAGCTACTTTTTTCTCCATGGTACAGGCCTGCAGAATATCTCCTTCAGCTGCTTTGTTCTGTCTCATTGCAGGGATGCAAGGAATGAAAAGAGGAGTAGGAGAGATCAGTGAGAAAAAAAGGATAAATCCCACTTTTTTTCTATAGACATAGTTACCAATTATATCCACACTGAAAAATCCCTCCTTTACCTTTGTAAAATATTAAGTATCTTTCCAAGCTGCAGCCACTTCTTGGAATATTTTAATGTGTAACCACATCATGTCTTCAATCTTGTAAATTTTATTTACTGTCTTAAAATATTCTTAACATTGAAACATTAATATAATCTTTATAAAATTGAAAGCCTACCTTAATGGTGATTAGAATTACGAAACGGTAAAGAACCTTTTATGTTTTCTTTTAGTGTAGGATAATTAGATGGGCATATACTAGTAATAGCTAGTAAATAAATACTTCCTGAAGTATGCGTTGTTAAGCTAGCAGAGGGTCCATGAGCTACCCAGGGTCTATTAACATAAAATTTTGTGTGCATTGTATTTTTCTAGAGAGACTAATGATAGTTTTTTTTATTCTCAGAGACAGAGGTTGGTGAATTAAAAAATTAAGAACTACTATCTTAAAGAGCTGTAATTGGTACCTAATTAAAGAGATATTTGGGGGAATTAAAATTTAAGGGTTCAATTTGAAATGCATTTTAAATTAATGTATTTATTTCCTTTTAGAAAGTAATAGATTTTGCAATGCAACAATTAGGCTTACAAAAGTGGCCATCTCAGCGAGAGAAGATCATACAGTTTCATAATCAACTTGAAGTAAGTATAGAATGGCATATTAGCAATTCATTGCCTTGGTTTCATAGGTAAGATCAAGGAGAAAAACATAATAAAAGAGAACTGTTACAGATACAATATTCTTCAAAGTAAGTGATTTATTAATTAACTATTTCCGTAGACTTTATTATTTGACTCCTCACATTAACTCTCAACAAATTAATCTTTTCACCCTCATCCCCTTAATACATACTTGTAAAAACCCTGCAGATACGGTGTAAAATATCTTGCATTCCACTGCTATAACTGCTATACCTTCTTTGAATTTCCTGTTCTCCATGAATGAACCATTTGGAAAAATACCAGAATGCACATTTCCCTGATTGCTAGTAAGATTGTACTGTCCTTTTTTATGTTTATTAGCCATTTGAGTTTTTTATGAATTGCCAGATTATGTGTTGTGCTCATTTTGTAATTATTTGTCTTTTTCTTAGTAAATATGTAGATTTTTCATTATGCATTTTATATCATAATTCTTTATTGGTTATGTGCATTGCAAATGATCTGAATGCCTTCTAGGTTCAAGGTGATGTTTTCTTAAGCACTGGATTTTTTTAGAAGGGATGCAAGTTAATACCTGGCTTCTACATAAGAAATGCAATCCTAAGGGTGCACATGGTAACCTCAGACAGAAAGTGTTTTTTTTACAGTAGATGGATTCCCTAAGTGGAATCTACATCAGTTCAAGGTGGAAGGTGGTACAGGTTGATAGTGCCTCCAACATGGGTTCTCAGTTCAGTGCTAATAATTAACACCAGTTCTTGTTTCTGGAGTGACTGTTTGTGGACAGTCAGTCCAACCTGATCTGTTTGCTCTCAGATACATGGCATTTGCCTGTTTCAAGGAATGGCTGAGCAATGGGAATAGGAGTAGGGAAGACATCCAAATCATCTAGGGGTTTTGACAAGTATTTGCATGGGAGATGTTGTAGCTGAGCCCACCCCTGCTGTTACTGATAGACTTTTCAGTAAGGTTCAGGGGAATAATGATTAAGTCATGGTCATTTCCAACTGCCAGGGGATGGCAGTCCCAAAAGTCAGTTACATTAAAGCCTTCTTCATTAGTTGGGAATAGCTACATCAGAGCATTTTCCTTTTTGAGGAAGGTTGGGGGGACAGTTATGAAAGACAAAATATTTTCAAGGTCCTCCCCCCATACCTCCTAGGGTCTGAGATATTTCCTCCTCAGGTGTCTGGGGTTTTGCTTTCCCTATACTGCCACAAAATCACTATGTCTCATTTCAGTAGTTTTAACCACAGTTATTTTTCAAGCACTCCCTAATTGCACTCACACCTTTTATCCTGAAGGGCTAGATACATGAGGGATACAAGAGTATTTTTATAAAACTTACAGAGAACCATTATATCCTCCACTTTGGCCTGCTTGGGCCATTGTAGAAGAACCTAGCTGGCAGTGTACTTAATCACTTTGTCCTTATCTTTATGATCTAAGACCACATCAATCCAAGAGAATCCAGGTAGTTTAACCAGAATTAAATTTGAATCTCCTAGGCCCCATTTTGGTCAGCCTTCCACATGGAATGTATACCAACCAGGGCAGCATGGGTTTGTCACTGGGGGAAAGAAATAAGCAGCATGCTTTGGAATGGTCAGGGCTAAATCCCAGATTTTCAAAATGGGTCTGTGTAATCCCCCATGACTTTCATACTGATCATTACCCAGAAAGCAGATGAAAGGAAATGATCCCTTTCTGGGGACAACTACATTCAATGACCAAAATTCCTCGGTAAGGCATGTGGGCAAGGAGAAGGTGAGAGAGATATAATAGAGTCAGAAAGCTTTTTGAGATGATTTTTCAGGAGGCTGTTCCAGTGCTGAATGATACCAGATGCCTTTGGATCATAGGGAGTGTGAAAGGTCCATCAAATACCTTGATCATCTGCTAATTGTTGAGTGACTTTTGCAATAAAAGGTACACAATTGTCAAATTGACAGTGGTTCAGAAATTCAAACATATAATACAAATTAGTTTCAAGAGATAATGGTGTGGCTGGAGTAAGCTGATTGGACTGGTCAGCTGAAATAGTGTCAACATCAGTAAGACATTGCCAGTAGCCCTAAGAGAGGGGATCAAAGATCTGACATAGTCAATCTGCCAGGAGGCTATGTAGGTTGTGCACTGTTTGATGTGGCTCCCCCACTGTGAGATAACTGCATCAATTTTGGCAGGAGTCATAAGTCTAGCATTTAGTAGTAGCTTCTACATCAGAAACATACAGTCCTTTACTTTGTGCCAATCTATAATAGTGAACATGTTGTAATGTTCAGGACAATATTGTAGCAATACAGTGATTATAGCAATCTGGGCAGAACAGGATCAATCAGCAGCTTGATTCTGGACAATAATCTCATCACATAATGGATCCTCCACCATGGGCCCATGAGTAACTCGGATAGTTTGGTCAGCAGCCATCATTTGTTTCCACAGTTCACAGCCCCAAAGTGGGGGTACTGTTAATCTTCTGATCTGTAGAACTGGCAGACCAAATAGATAGGCCACTGGCAAAGCCCAAGAGTCAGAGTTTTGTCCACTGAGCAGAGTGATCAAGTCTGCTTTTGGTTCTTCATAGCTGAAGCTGAACAGTGAGAGCTGTCAGATTTCAGCTTAGCTGAACCATCAGTAATCCAAGCCCAGGCATTTATTGGAATCTTCGTGAATCAAGAGCTGCATTGAGCCAGCAGCTTTGTTTCAGGAGGTTAAGTGGGGAATAGAGTTTATCCCAGAGGGTTAACTGCCACTCTTTTGTAACTCACTAGGGCCAAGCTAGCTGCATTCTTGAATATGCGATTTCCGTTTGACAAGCAAGGCTTTTTGGACCCTTCTCACTTTGCCAGATGTATAGAGTCTGGGTCTGTGAAATCAGGGCCTCTGTGGTGGAACAGAGATTGTAAAGTAGATATTTTAGTCTTATCCATATTTGAATTTTAATGTATTTATGTGATACTTACATTATTAAAAAATAATTTCTTTAATACTATTACAACAATCCAGGAGAGATGGTGAGGGCCCAGGTGTCTTAGTCAGCTCAGGCTGCTATAACAAAATATCATAGACTGGGTGGCTTAAACAACAGACATTTATTTCTCACAGTTCTAGAAACTAGGAAGCCCAAGATCAAGATACTGACAGATTTTGTTCCTGGTGAGCCCCCTCTTCCTGGCTTGCAGACAGCCACGTTCTTGCTGGGTCCTCACATGGCTGGGGGCAGGGGGGAGAGAGAGAGAGACAGAGAGAGCGTGCGCAAGCACACACTCTGGTTTCTCTTCCTCTTCTTTATAAGGAAACTAATCCCATCATGGGAAACCCACCTTCAACTCATCCAAACCTACCTTCCAAAGTTCCCCCCTCCAAATATCGTATTGGGGGTCAGGGCTTCAACATATGCATTTTGGGGGAAACACAAACATTCAGTCCACAACCCAAACATAAGGCAATTGTGGTTTGGATGGAGAGAAGACGGAAACAAGTAATAGTTTTGTAAGAGATGAGGAAATGAAAAAAAGGCAAATATTCCATGTAGGACCATTAGTATATTGCTGTTTTATTTAACTACATTAGGGAAATAAGAAAAGCTACAGGTGTGAAAAGAAGATATAGGTTAGATTTTGTTGAGTTTGAGAATCATATGAGACATTCAGATAGAAACGTTTGGTAGACCATTTGAAATTTCACTCTGGCACTTAGAACTGAAGACTGGAGGAAATGTGTACATTAGGGAGTCATTAGAATCCAGGTCATACTTAAAGGTCAAATTGATAAGATTGGATATGGACTATGCAGAAGAGAGAAGGGGACAAGAATGAATTAGGGAAGAATCACATGGAAAGGAGAATCAGAGCTCAGGTAAAAGAGAAAAAATAGAGAAGGAGGAAAACCCTGATAAATTATATAACAGAACCCAATAGTAGAGAAACATACAAGAAGAAAGAAGTAGAAAGTGAGATAAACTTTTAAATATCAAGAACTGAAATATATTCTTTGAATTTTAAAATTGGGAGATTTCAAGCAAAAGCCAGATTACAATGAAATGAACAATAAATTGAAAGAAGAGTTCATGGATATAGGCAGAGATGTATTTGTAACTAAACTTTTAAAATTGTTTCTGAATGAATAAATTTGTAAATTTTATTTCAGGCTTATGTTGGTGTGATGTTAGTAGGTCCAACAGGTGGAGGAAAAACAACAGTCAGAAGAATTTTAGAAAAAGCATTAGTACTATTACCAATTGTAGACTTCTTATCATTTGCAGAAAGGGAATCTACTCCAGAGGTAAATGTTCTACTAAATAAACGTTTATTCATTTGTTCATATTTTATTTTATACTTCAGTTAACATTTTATGTTCTCTTCACATAGGTATTTTTATTAGTTATTAAATTTATTGCTAGGAATTTCATACTTAGAAATCATTATAGTGAGTGGGATTCTTTCATTTAAATCTCAAGCTGGTAATTGCTAGTGAAAATAAAACTATTGAATTATATATTACTATTTATTTTGTATCTAGCTCACCTTACTTAATGGACTTGTAAGTGCTAATTGTTTTTTAGGTATTGATTGAATGATCTTCAAATAAAAATAATTTTGTCTCTTTTCCAATTTTTTATAACTTATATTCTTATCTTAATTGATTAACCCTCCAAGACAATGTCAACTATAATATTTGTTCCTTTATCTGGAATGCATTTAATATTTCTGCATTTAAATGATATTCTTAGTCTCTGATAAATATTCTTTATCATACTTTAGAAATTTCTATTCCCATTACACTTTGGTTTTTCAACTGCTAGAGTTTATTAAGTGATTTTTAGCATTTATTTTTTAATCGTTTAACTAGTTAATGTAATAAGCTATGTTGATAGATTTGCTAATGTTAAATTGTCCTTGAATTCCTAGATTAGCCCCTACTTAATCATAATATATTTTTATTCACTATAAAGCTAGACTCCAATAAGTAGTATGTACTAAAATTACTTTATTTAAAGATTCGTTGTTGGTAATCTATTCCAAAAGTTTTAGAAAGTCAGGTTCTCAGTTACATAGATTTTTTTCAGTTAGTGTGAAATATCCTGCTTTAAAATCATGCATATAACAGTTCATAATCCTTTACCCTTTTCCTTTATCTAAACTTTCCTTCTCAACAGATCTCAATTAGTTCTTAAGCAATTATTATAATAAAAAGTGAATTACCATAGCAATAATAACTAAATAATGACTAATATTTATAGAATACTAAATATGAGCCAAGTGCTATGCTAAAACACTTTTACTTGAATTATCTCATTTAATTCTGACAACAACCCTATGGGCAGTAATTTGCTTTATTAAAAAAGTTTTTTAAGTGCAAAAGTAGTATGTACAGTTGTGAGAAATTTGGAAAATAAAAAGAATTTTAAAAATCACTTAGAAAAAAATGACTGAAAACATTTTGCTGTATTTCCTTTATTTTTTCTACACTAGATATATTTTGAAATAATTGAGATATAGTACTTTGTATAAGTGATCTCAATTTTTCTAATCTTGGCATCTTCACTTAATATTATATGCTGAGAATTAACCCCGTGTCATTAAAAACTTCTCACAAATATCATTATGATTACTGTATTCTGTCATCAGAATGTAACTTCACTGTGTACCTCCAGTTAAGATTGAGGTAAAATGCGCAAAACATATAATTAATCTTTTTAAAGTGACATTTAGTGCATTCACAATGTTATACAATCATCACCTCTTTCTAGATTCAAAACTTTTTTATTTCCGCCCAGGGGAACACTCCTTTCCCATTAAGAAACCACTCCCCATTCCCTGGCAACCACTAATTGGCTATGGATTTGCCAATCCTAGGTATTTTGTATAAAAGGAATTATATGTATATGGCCTCTTGTGTCTGACTCCTTTCACTTAACATATGTTTCTGAGGTTCATTCATGTTGCAGCATGTATCGGTACTTCATTCCATTTTATAGTTGAATAATATTATATAAAATATTTGTTTATCGATTCATCACAGTTTATGTGTTCATCCCTTGATGGGTTTTTGGGTCGTTTCCACCTTTGGTATATAAAGAATATTGCTGTTATAAACATTTGTGTACAAGTTTTTCGTGGACATATGTTTTCATTTCTCTTGGTTATATACCTAGGAGTAGAATTGCTGGATCATGCGGTAATTTTATGTTTAACTTTTTTTTTTTTTTTTTTTTGAGACGAGGTCTCGCTCTGTTGCCTGGGCTAGAGTGCTGTGGGGTCAGACTAGCTCACAGCAACCTCAAACTCCTGGGCTTAACCAATCCTTCTGCCTCAGCCTCCCAAGTAGCTGGGACTACAGGCATGCGCCACCATGCCTGGCTAATTTTTTCTATTTTTAGTTGTTTGGCTAATTTCTTTCTATTTATAGTAGAGACGGGGTCTCGCTTTTGCTCAGGCTGGTCTCAAACTCCTGAGCTCAAACAATCCACCCGCCTCGGCCTCCCAGAATGCTAGGATTACAGGCGTGAGCCACCGTCCCCGGCCCTGTTTAACTTTTTAAGCAACCACCAAACTGTTCTCCACAGCAACTGTACCATTTTAAATTGCCATTAGCAATGTATGAGGCTTCCTATTTTTCTACATTCTCACCAACACTTGCTATTTTCCCTATTTTTTCCATTCTGGTGGATGTGAAGTAGTATCATTGTGGTTTTGATTTGCATTTCCTAATGACCAGTGAAGGCTGAATACCTTTTCACATGCTTATTAGCCATTTGTACATCTTCTTTGGAGACATGTCTATTCATGGTTTTTGTCCTTTTTAAAATTAAATTGTCTTTGTTGTTCATTGCAAAAGTTCTTTATATATTCTGGACACTAAAGCCTTATCAGATATGTGATTTGCAAATATTTTCTCCTATTTTGTGAGTTGTCTTTTTCCCTTTCTTGGTAATACCTTTTTGATACACAAAAGATGTTAATTTTTATAAAATCCTATTTATTTTTTTTCTTTTGTTGCTTGTGCTGTTGGTGTCAAAGCTAAGAATCCTACCAAATCCAAGGTGATGGAGATTTACCTCCTACATTTTCTTCTCGTAGTTTTAGCTCTTATATTTAAGTTGTTGATTCATTTTGAGTTAATTTTGTATATGGAGTGAGTGTCATTCTTTTGCATGTGTGTATCCAATTCTCCCTGCACTATTTGTTGTAGTCTATTCTTTTCTCCATTGAATGGTCTTGGCATTCTTGATGAAAATCAATTGGCTGCAGATGTTTGGGTTTATTTCTGGACTGTCAGTTTCATTCCATTGCTCTGGATGTCCAATCTTTATACCAGGATATGTATGTTTTGATTACTGTATATCTTTGTACAGTAGTCCCATTATCCTTGGTTTCACGTTCCACAGTTTCAGTTACCTGTGGCCAACTATGGTCTGAAAATATTAAATGGAAAATTCTAGAAATAAACAATTTATAAGTTTAAACCCTACTTCACAATGCTTATTACATCATTCACCTCACTTCATTTCATCACATAGGCATTTTATCATCTTACATAATCGTATGAAAGCTGAAGATAGTACAATAAAATACTTTGAGAGAGAGATCACATTCACATAAATTTTATTGAATTGTTATAATTGTTTATAATATTATTATTATTGTAGGAAAAACATATTATAGCTAGGGTTTGGTACTATCAGTAGTTTCAGGCATCCACTGGGAGTCTCAGATCTTATCCCCCAAGGATAAGAGGGTACTACTATAGTAAATTTTGAAATTGGGAATTATGAGTTCTCCAACTTGTTCTTTTTGAGGTCCCTTGCAATTCCATTTGAATTTGAGGAATGGTTCTTCCATTTCTGCAGAAAAGGCCACTGGAATTTTGATAGGAATTGGATGAAATCTATAGATCACTTTCGCAAACAATTACCGTCTTAACAATATTAAGTTTTCCCATCAGTGAACACAGATATCTTTTCATTTTTAAATCTTTAATTTCTTTAAGCAATATTTTGCATTTTTAGTACATAAATCTTTCCTGTCATTAAAGTTATTCCCAGACATTTTATTCTTTGAATGCTATTATAAATGGAATTGTTTTTTAAATTCCCATTTTGGATTATTCATCACTGCTGTATAGAAACAACGAATTTTTGTGCATCGATCTTGTACTTTGTAAATTTGCTGATTTATTTATTAGTTCTAGTGGTTATTCTGTGAATTCTTTGGGATTTTTTATAGAGAGAATTATGTAATATGTGAATAGATACAGTTTTACTTCTTTCTTTCCAATTCGGCTGCTTTTTATTTCTTTTCTTGCCTAATTGCCTGGCTCGAGTTCCAGTACAATGTTTAGTAGCAGTGGTGAAAAATGGAATACTTGTATTGTTCTTGATTTTAGGGGAAAAGCTTTCAGTCTTTCACTATTGAGTATGAAGTCAACTGTGGGTTTTTCATAAATACCCCTTATTATGTTAAGGAAGTGTTCCCTTCTATTCCTAGTTTTCTGAGTGTTTTTATCATGAAAGTGTGTAAAATTGTGTCAAATGCTTTTTCTGCAACTTTTGGTGTGATCATGTGGCTTCTTTCCTTTGTTTTATTATTGTAGTGTATTACATTGATTGATTTTCTTATGTTGAACTACACTTACATTCCTGGATGAATCCTACTTTGTCATGGTGTATAATCCTTTAAATGTGCAGTTGAATTCAGTTTATTAGCACTTTTGTGAGGATTTTTGCATCTATATTCATAAGGGATATTGGTCTGTACTTTTCTTGTGAAATCTTTCAGTTTGATATCATGGTAATGCTGGCCTAGTAGAATGTGTTAGGAAGTGTTCCCTATTTTAGGAAATGTTCTCTATTTTTCTATTTGCAAGAGTTTGAGTAGGATTGGTATTAATTTTTCTTTAAATGTTTGGTAGAATTCATCTACCATCTGAGTAGAGTTTTCTTTGTTGGAGATTTTTGATTACTGAATCAAACTCTCTGTCATAGGTCTGTTGAAATTTTCTATTTCTTTTTGAGTCAGCTTCAGTAATTTGTTTCTTAGGAATTTGTCCATTACTTCTAGTTTATGTAATTGTTGGTGTAAAATTCTTCATAGTGTTCTCTTATAATCCTTGTAATTTCTATAAGGCAGTAGTTATGTCCACACCTTCATTTTTGATATTTATTTGTGTCTTCTCTCTTTTTTTCTTAGACAGTCTAGCTAAAAGTTTGTTGGTTTTTTTGATCTTACAACCAACCAATGTTTGGTATTATTGATTCTGTTGTTTTTTAATTCTCTATTTTGTTTATCTCTAATAATTACATCCTTCTTTTTGATGATTTTGGGTTTAGTTTGCTCTTCTTTTTTTATTTCCTTAGGATATAAAGTTTGATTTTTTACTTGAGATCTTTCTTGTTTAATGTGGGTATTTGCAGCTGTAATTTTTCCTCTTCAGGCAGCACCCAGACAGGTTAGAATGTTGCAAATATGGTCTTCTTGAATGCCAATTCTGACCTAAAGTTTAAAAGTATATGCTACTGTCTCTTACCTCTACACTTAACCCCGGCTCCAGACACACTGCATCCCAGTTCATATATTGTGTTCCTGGATTAGGCACAGTGGGATTTTTCCCCTTTTGGGGGGTGGGGGGTACTAATAATTGTATTTAGAATTTTTTAAAAAAAGTATTTGTATATTATAGCTAATTTTAATAAGTCAATTTTTACTGTTCCTTGAAAATTGCAACCATTATAATCTTTCTTTGCTATGAAATATTTCTCCTAAGCCCCTTTGGTAATAACAATGCAAAAAATGAAATTATTGTACTATGCTTATTGTCTTTAAAAACCACACTGGATTTTTCCTAGACTTCAGGAAGAAAAGGAAAAGTAGATATTTACGTTTTAAATCCAAAGTGTATCACTCTTGGTGAACTATATGGACAACTAGATCCTAATACTATGGAATGGACTGATGGATTATTATCAGCAATAATTCGAAGTTATGTCTCTTGTAACACTGCAAGGTGCTCGAGAAAAGAAATTGATCTCGAAGTAAAGTCAAGAATCTCAGATTTATCGAATGTAAGTTTAGTATCGAGTGAGTATTTTTATTTGACTAATGTGTATTATTTAATTATTTAATTGCTTATCCAAAGATTGGTATTAAAACCTATTAGAGTAAAAGTCAATTTTAAAAATATTATGAACAGTTTTTAGAAAGAAAAAAATTATAATTTACTTAAAAAAATATGCCATTGAGTTTTAAAATAGTCAGTAAATGATAGAATGAAGTTAAAGATATTTGCTTTTAAAGGAACACAAAGTGAATTGAGTCTACACAGAGAATGATCTAGTGATTCCAACACCAACGATATACTTTAAAAATTAAAAAAAAACACTTCAGTTGGAAAGTAAATAAAGTATGTGATACAAAATTCATCAAGGAATACATATAAACAGCAAAATAATTCTGTGATCCTTTAACAGTGCTGCTCAACCCTATTCACTTGTGGTTGTCACCAGGCTGCTGTGGCAGGATGGGCCCATGGTGCAGTGCATGTGTGGTGGGGCTGGCCTGCTGGACTGGGCATGGACATGGGATGGAAGAGGTCTGCTGGACACAGTGCACACACATGGGCCTAGGCAGCCAAGGTGTGAAGTGTATAGGCAAGGTCAGGCACACATGAGGTATAGCACATGCAGAGGGCATAGTAGGCCCGTGGGGCAGAGCAGGTCTGCAGGATGGAAGGGTCCCTGGTGCAGAGTGGGCCTGTAGCACATGTGTGGGGCAGAGTGGGCCCCTGGCACTGAGGGGGCTTGTGGGGCAGGGTGCTTGCGCAGGATTGGGCAGGTCCGCGGGATGCAGCATGCACACATGCGGGCCAGTGTAGCCGCAGTGCTGGGTGTGTGGGTGGGCACCAAGGGCTATGGGCTTGTGCTCCACCTGGGCCCTGCAGGAGGTGCAGTTGAATAGGATTACCCAGGCCACAGCAGCAGGTGCCCTCTGTGGTCTCCTGGTCTTCCCTGGCCCCCCCAGAGGCATAGTGCCAGCAGTGGGAGTGCAGATCACCCGCCCACCGGGAATGCATGAACATCGGGACTCCCCATTCCCTCCCCATCTGCCAAAGGTAAGGGGGAGGCAGTAGTCACAGATCTGACCCCTGAGCAGAAGTAGCATTCCGAGGTTGGTATATCACAATGGCATCAGCCACAATGCCCAGGGCCGGCAAGCCAGGCATGCCTTCTCTCCAGGGCAGTGTAACTGCACAGCCTCCAGTCAGGTCTCTGTATCGGTAGGAAGGCCTACTGCAGAGGAGGGGCCCTCCTGCCTCTTCCATTGCAATATTCTCAGGGGAAGCATGGAGGCTGGGATTCTCTCCTCTGTCCCTTCCCCATATGTGGGCACTTTCCCTAATACCTCTGGTCCTGTTGAGCAGGTTATTGCACTTCTTTTTTCTTTACTTCATTCCCACCTCCTCTTTGTGGATTTCCAGTGCTCTCACCTATCAATCAATCCAAAAGTGGATATCTATTCACCACTTTCAATGCTTTCCGTGAGAGCAGTGTTGTGATAAAATTCTTTATACTAATGATTGCCAGTTAGAAACGGAAATAGGAAAAATTATGTTAAAAGTGGTAAGAATCTATAAAATGCATTGGAATAAATGTAAAAGAAAGGGACTTGTTCTATGGGGGATGGGGCAGGGAAACATATGCAATTGAGAAAATTTGAATAAATTAAGGATATACCATATTCCTATGTAGAAAGAATTCCATCATAAAAATGACAATCTCTATCAAATTAAGATATGCGTATAATGTCATTTCACCCAAAATCCCACTGGTTTTTTAAATTAAAAAATAAAGACTTATATGTTTACAATGTACAGCTTGATGTTTTCATATATATATATATATAAGATGGAATGATTGCTATTAATACAATCAAGCTAATTAACATATCAATCACCTTACATAGTTGTCTTTTTTTATAGTGAGAATATTTAAGATTGGCTCTTAGCAATTTTCAAAAATATTTAATATGGTACATGATTAACTATAGTCATCATGCTGTACACTAGATCTCCAGAACTTATTCATACTGACTGAAACTTTATATATTATTTATACAACATCCCTCATTTCCTCCCACTGCACCTCCAAGCCCCTGGTGGAAACCACTGTTCTACTCTCTTCTTAATGAATTCAACTTTTGCATTTCCCACTTGTAAGTGAGATTATGTAGTTTTTGTCTTTCTGTGCCTGGCTTTTTTCTCTTTGCATTATGTAATCCAGGTTCATCCATGTTGTCATAAATGTCAGGATTTCCTTCTTTTTTTTTTTTTAAGTATTCCATTGTGTGCGTGCACACCACATTTCTTTATACATTCATCCATTGATGGACAGGACATTTAGGATGATTTCATATGTTGACTATTGTGACTAATGCTGCAATGAAAATGGGAGGGCAGATATCTCCTCAACATGATTTCATTTCCTTTGGATATATACCCAGTAAAGGGATTGCTGGATCGTATGGCAGTTCTATTTTCAATTTTTTGAGGAATCTCCATACTGTTTTTCACAAGGTCTGTACTAATTTACATTCTCACGGACAGTATATAAGGGTTTCCTGTTCTCCATCTTCCTCACCAGCACTTACTATCTTTGTGTTTTTTGTAGTATCCATTCTAACAGGTGTGAGATGATATCTCATTGCAGTTTCAATTTGCATTTCCCTAATGAGCATTTTTTTTCATATACCTGTTGGCCATTTGTTTGTTTTCGGTGAGAAATATCTATTCAAGTTCTTTGTCCATTTTTTAATTGAGTTATTTATTTTCTTGCTGCCAAGTTGTTTGAGTTCCTTATAAATTTTGGATACTAACTCCTTCTTCGATATGTGGTTTGAAAATAATTTCTCCCATTCCATAATCTCTTCACTCTGTTGTCTCTTTTGCTATGCTGAAGCTTTTGAATTTGATGCAATCCTATTTGTTTGTGTTTGCTTTTGTTGACTGTGCTTTATATCCAAAAAATCAGCCCAGACCAATACCATGGAGCTTTTCCCCTATGTTTTCTTCTAGTAGTTTTAGAGTTTCAGGTGTTATGTTTAGGTCTTTAATCCATTTTGAGTAGAGTTCAGTTTTGTATATGGTGTTAGATGAATCCAATTTAATTTTTCTGCATGTGGATATCGAATTTTCCTGGCATCATTTATTAAAGCAACTGACTCTTCTCCATTGTGTGTTCTTAGCAGCTCTGTTGAAGACCAATTGACTGTAAATGTGTGGGGTTGTTTTTTCTTTCTAATTGGATAAAATGATTTCAATATTTCATCTGTAAGTGTAAATGTTTCAAGAGTTTAAGAAAATCTGGGCAGAAAATCATAGCACTTTAGAGTTCTAAAATGTTCTAAATAAATTTTAAAACAAATCCAAACTGTAAGCAAACCAGTAAGGCAGTGACACAGAAATGGAACCAAACGGAAGCCAGAAACATATTCAAACATATAAAGGAATTTGGTATACAATTAAAGTGATATTTCTAATTATTGAGGAAAACTTTCCATATTTAATCCTTTGTAAAATTTGCTATTTTCATATTAAAAACATAGACCCCTAGCTCACTCCTTCCACAGAAATAAAATTCCAGATGAATTAACAATCTAAATATAAAAATAAAACTATAAAAATACTATTGTATAATAATATCTAGGTACATATTTTCACAATTAGGAAGTTCTGATACCCAGAAATCATAAAATAAATGATAAAAGGATTTAACTATAAATATTAATATGAAAATATTTTTCCAATAGCTACCACTATGCTAAAGTAAATTACAATCTAGAAGAAAATAATTATAACACAGATAGTCAATGAGTTATAATAATATCTCCAATATAAAAAAAGAGCTTCAGAAATGAATAAGAAATTCAACTAAATAAGGAAATGAGGAAAGGCTAGGAATAGAAAATTGATAGAACAAATACAAATTGTCATTAAATATATGAAAAGATGCTTAGCCTCGCTATTTGTCAAAGAAATAAAAGTTATAAAAATGATAGGCACAGTATTTTTCCTCATCAGATTTCAAAACTTAAGAATATTTGCGGTGATCACATTCATTGTTAGCAAGGATATGTAAAAACATGGATTGTTATGCCTTGTTGGTGGGAATGTTATTGCCACAAACTTTTGAGAAGAAATGTAATAAAATTTATTAAGAACTAAAATAATTATAACCTTTGACCCCCAATCTTACATTTAAAAAAACAATCTAACTAGAGAAAGAGGATGCAAGGATGATAATTGCAGACTTTTGTAATAGGAAGAATAATTGGAAATAGCCTGTGACTTGCTTACCTTCCTTGGGAATTAGCAGCAACTGGTTACTTTTTCTTGTATTGTTAGGGCCTCGTTGAAACCTGAGCATCATTACTTGGTCTCTGTCTTCAGAACCCACACTGTGCCCCCAGCACAGCTCTAGAGTTTGGTTTTCTCCCCCACTACTCTTGGTGGTTACAGAAACCATGCCATTCAGGTGATTACAAATTACTCAGCTTTTTAGGAGAGATGAATAATTAAGCCTCCGCCCTCAAGGTAACTAAGTGCTAAGCATATGCATACATCAGAATTTCTCAAATGTTGTTATGAGAGCACCTGTATTAGAATCATCTGGGGTATATATTAAAAATGGAAATTTCTGGGCTTCATCCCAAACCTATTCAATACAAATCTCCAAGGATGAAGTGTTAGAATCTGCAATCTAACAAACTGCAGGTAATTCTTACGTATTCTAAAGTTTGAGAACTTATGAAGGAATGTCTAGGAAAAATATGCACCAAAATGTCAATAGTGGTCGTCTATAGTTAGTGGAAATTCAGAGAACTTTTGATTTCTTCTTTGTGCTTTGGTGTATTATTTGGATATTATACAACAAGCATATACTATCTTTGCAGGTAGAAAAAAGAAACTAAAATAAATGGCTTTCCAAAAGGAAATAAGGTGTAGTCACAAGTCACATTATACTATGCTGGTTATGTGTTGGGTTTTTCAGCTACAGAACCTTTTGCCTTTCATATTTTTGCCACTCAAGGAAGGATATTGGCTGGGCACAGTGTAATCCTAGCACTCTGGGAGGCCAAGGCAGGAGGATTGCTTGAGGTCAGAAGTTTGAAACCAGCCTGAGCAAGAGCAAGACCCCATCTCTACAAAAATAGGAAAATTGGCTGGATGTGGTGGCACCTGCCTGTAGTCCCAGCTACTCTGGAGGCTGGGGCAGGAGGATCAGTTGAGCCCAGGAGTCTGAGGTTGCAATGAGCTATGATGATACCACTGCACTCTAGCCTGGATGACAGAATGAGACGCTGCCTTGAAAAAAAAAAAAAAAGCATTGATGTATAGTCTACTGGAATTGGAAAATGTCATCAAATAAAAATTTAAATATTATTGATTATGTATTTTAGGTTTTCAAATTTGATTCCTCTGATACAGCAGATATGGATAATAATGTTTTTGAGGATATACAGAAAGATGATAAAATTCCAGAAAATCACAGTAAGTATTATTAAATTCAATGAAGGTGATTAATTAATATAGAAAACAAACTTTGAACCAATATTAGCAACATTTGTATCTTTTTTTTAACATTTGTATCTTTAAATACATTTTGATTAGTGATATTTTGTTCTTGTACAATTTATTTTTTCCTCTAGAGTTTACTTAAAATTTGTATAGTATTCCCCCCAAAAAAGAATTTGTATAGTATTATCACATATTATAATGTATATGTATATTATTATGCTATATAAATACTAGGGCTTAAATAGCCCTTCAGTTTATAAATGACCATTAGTCTCCCACAAGAACAAGTAGATATTAAAGGTGGAAATAAATAATGATGTGAGAAGCATCAGTGGCAACCTACAGTTTGCCACTGGTGTTCCTCTGAAGTGGAACTCCAAACAATCTGTACCTTCCCGGGTGAGGTCATACTACCCAAGCAGATTCATCTACAATGAACTGCACACCCATAATATTCCAGATGCTTTGCTACGTGGCAGGGGATGGAATGGAGCTGACAAATCTATTGAAGGAGCCCCGACGATTGCTTTCCCTACTCCAGGTTGAACCTCATATCAATACATCCCCCAGTAGTACATTTGTGATCCAGACTTTGAAAGAGGCTTCTGCTGCTGCTTCTACTTCCTTGATTTTTGTATGTCATGTTTGGGAGAGTACAATAATTGGGCATAATGTTTCCTTCATGGGGCTTTATGACAGTCACTAGAGCAGGTATTTCAGCCAGTCAGAGCCCATCTTGGCGGTAGTAGCTATATGGATCCCTACTTTACTCTTTGATTCTTCTGGGATACTTAAATTTCTAATAGGTGGTAAACTATAAACTATTTTCTTTCTGCATAGTGACCTATTCACCTCTCCTATCCTGACCAATAGATTTTTTTCTAAAACTATGAAGCACAGAAATAGGGATAGAGTATGTCCTGTGGTCTGAATGTTTGTATCCCTGCAAAATTCATATGTTGAAATTAACACCCAAGGTGATGGTATTAAGAGATGAGGGGCTTTGGGGAAGTGATTAGATCATGAGGGCTCTTCCCTCATGAATGATAGTAGTGCCCTTATAAAAGAGACCCCAGAGAGACCCCTTGCCCCTTCCACTGTGTGATGACGAAGAAGGCAAGGACAGCCTTCACCAGACACAAAATCTGCCAGTACCTAATCTTAGTCTTCTAAGCTAGAACCATGAGAACCATGAGAAATATATTTCTGTTGATAAGCTACCCAGTCTAAGGCATTTTGTTATAGCATCCCAAACAGACTATGACAGTGTGGAAAGAGGAGTAAATGGGTTCCAAGTGTGATATACTCTAATCTCTGTCTATTTGATTCTTTCTTCAAAGGCATCTATTTCCCTTTGCTTTTCCTCAGGAGCAGCATATCTGAAAAATATTCCAATGTGGAAGGGGCAAACTCACAAATCATATTATTATGAAAAAGATAAAATCATGACTATTTCTCCTATCTACGAGTAAAAGTTAATTATCCAGTTCAACAATCTAAGAATATATCTCAATAATGCTTAAAGTGTTATCAAATGTATGGTATGAATATTTATTCATATTCAATAAATATTGGAGGCTACATATAAACACATTCACTCTAATGTTTTTTAGAATATCATTTTCATCTCAGAAAATATTTTCTATACATAAAATTTGCCAGATTGCAATGAAAGAAGACTGACATTATTCTTAGTTACATTAAAAATATTTTTCTCTCCAGATTTTGATTGGCAGTGGATTATCTTAGATGGTCCTGTGGACACCTTTTGGGTAGAAAATCTGAACTCTGTCCTAGACGACACTAGAACATTGTGCCTAGCAAACAGTGAGAGAATAGCTTTAACTAATAAAATAAGAGTGATTTTTGAAGTGGACAGTCTCTCTCAGGCCAGTCCTGCTACTGTCAGCCGATGTGCAATGGTCTATATGGTAAGTTTTCAATAACAAATTTCCTAACAAAGAAAATGTGTTGTTTAGGATAATAACTAGCCATTATCTACAGCATTTTATGTTTATTTTATTTTTACCTGTGGATCCAGCAGTATGACTCCAGTAGTTCAGAAACTTTGTACTTCCCAAAGCCTCATAACCTAGAATGGAATATGAATGTAATTACTACTGTCATTAATACTATTCTTAGCGGTTGGAGTGTCAGTATTTTCCACAACTGTAGTAAGTAGTGCTTTCATCAGACAGGTTAGGCTGCTGATATAATTTTTCCAAAAAGGAAGATTGCCCTAGCGCCTCTTCATACACACTTCATGACTCTAAGAACTCGGGAAACACATTACCAAGACAGTGGTGAGGAAGTAGAAGACATGACAAAAAATAAATATTTTCTGTACATGAAATTATTAGCTAGGATTAACCCAACATGCTAATCTCCTTAACTGAACGTGACGAATAAAGCTAAGTACAGGGCTGACTTCCGGGTAAGCAGTTCCCCTCACCACATACACGTAGTCTCAACACACCTCCCTACACATAATCCCCCCAGCTGTTTGTTCTCTTGTAAGACCATGGTTAGAAATCACAAATCATCCCAGAAAAGGGTAATTCTTAAGCTGTTTTGATCATTTGCCCTTTAACGAATGATAATTCTAGGCCATAACTGGTAGAGGGCAGTGATGAAGTAAAAAGATAGTAAGAAAGTAGGAGGATACTGTATTTTTATTTATTTACATAAGACTATATTGTGCTTTTTATTACTAGGATCCTGTTGATCTGGGATGGGAGCCTTATGCTAAGTCATGGCTTTTGAAAACTTCTAAAATTATAAGTCAGTCAGGAGTGGATTATCTTGAATTTATGATTAAAAAAAGTATCACAGACGGACTACAATTTATAAAGAAGCATCAGAAATTTCAGCCATATCCTATACAAGACATAACAATTGTCATAACCCTCTGCAGAATTCTTGATGCTTTGTTTGAATTCATGAGTGACTATGGAGGATTTGGACAAGGTGAGTTTTTTCCCCTGAGTCACATTGAGTTTTTTTCCCTGAGTCACATTAGTGATGGGTTTTTTTCACTAAGTCAATGATGCAGTATCTTCACTAAGTCAATTATATAGTATCTTAGCTAGGCAATGCCAATGTATCACCTTCAATTGGATTTTAGAAAATTCCTGGAAAGCCAGGAATTTTTAGTCTATCTGGACCAACAACAGACATATATGTGTTTTTACAAACTAAAAATCATTTATAGAGAAGCATATCAAAATTAAATTAACAACATATGTAAGTGTTGAAGGGTCACAAGAAAAATGAGTGTAAAGAACGCTTAGAGGGTCTCTATTGCCAAAAAATGTTTTTGCTGTGTTTTAAAGATTCTTAGAGCTAAAAATAGTGCACAAAACTACTCAAAATCCTGGACATAAGCTGCGATCAGATTGAGAGCCAAGATGGCTGACTAGAGACACAGCTTGTTGGACCCTCCCAGCAGAAGAGTTGAGGGTTGGACTGAGGAGAGTGGAGAATGATTACTGCTCAGAAGTGGACGGACCACAGGGACAGACACCAGTGGAGTCCAGGAACACCACCAAGAGGAACTGCGAAGCTGAGAGACAGGAGCATAGAAAAAAGAAATCGGCAGCACAAACCAAATCCAGGCAGTTCTGGATCCCAGTGAAAGCCTAAGGAGTCTCCCCCCTTGCCACCTGGGTGCCTCAGGCCAGCAACAGGACACAGGGCTCTCACCCCCTAGGGGAGTGCCATGAGGGACCAGAGAGCCAGCATCCCTGCATCTGGATGCCTTCTTCTCTGCACCTCCTCCACTCCTGGCATCCCAGAAAGTAATTTTTGGCTCAAGCTGGTGTGGCCACACCCTCCCCATAGCAACTGCTACAGCAATTGCTCTGAGAGTTGGCTCCCCTCAACGGGGGTGCATTCCCAGCCAAATCTGCCTAGGAGAGTATAGCCACAGCTGTGGTTGCTCAGAGAGGAGGGAGGGACCCAGTTCCCCCTGGACACCAGAGCAGTGCAGGGAGACAGCAGCCCTTCCCCCCAGCATAGCAGCCACTAGAGTTCCCTGTGCTGAGTGACCCGCTTTCAGCACTGGGGGCACATTCACTCCTGAGCTGGTGGGACAGCCACGGTTTGCGATCTTCCTGCCCACAGGCATTTGGTGTGTTCACTGAAGACAGAAGAGCGGGATGGGAGATGTAGGGGCAGAGGTCCCGTTCCAGGGTCAGTGGCAATTAACAACATGGCCTCTCTTTTCTCTGAATGTTGTTTTGGGGTAAGGAGGTGGAAAGTGGAAAGATATCATCCCTGATGACTTCAATTTTTCTCATGAAGTAAGAGCCGAAGTTATCCACTGATTTGAGGAAAGTGAAAGGTTGGTTTGAAGTAAATGATAAAGGCTAGGATGGTCATTGAGGGAATAAGAGAGCAGATTAATTGAGAAGAAAATTGATGGTATATATCGAGGGCTCATTTGAGAGAGAAACCATGATCTCGTACAGGTTGGGAAGAGTGAGAAGGTATTAGGAAGCTTCCGTTAGGCTCTCAGGTCATCATCTAGTGGAGGACGGAGGTTCAGTTCCCTGCCCAGTTGCCAAAGACTGTCATTTACTTTCTCAACTACTATAAATTATGTATCCTTGAAGAAACAAGTTCATTGGTAAGTATTTGCTGTTTTGTTGTCTGTTATAACTGCTGATTGAGAATGGGTAGTCCTAATATAAAATTGGGGACCTGAATCTCATTTCATATCAGCCATGATCTCTCCAGAGTCATTAAGTAGATAAATTCTATTCTAGAGAGATGACACAAAGATTTATCAGATTCATTTTATTCACCATTTAGCTAAATATAACAAAGGGAAGCTGGCAGTACAGCCTATAAAAGTTACTCTGATATGATACCAAAGGCAAAGGCAAAAAAAAAAAAAATAGACAAATTGAACTTCATCAAAATTAAAATATTTTGTGCATCAAAGGACACTATCAACAGAGGAAAAAATAACCCATGGGGGGGAATATTTACAAATCATATGTCTTATAGAGATTAATGTCCAGGATATGTAACAAATTCTTACAATTCAATAACAAAATAACAGTCAATTCAAAAATGGGCAAAGGACGTGAATAGATATTTCTCCAAAGAAGATATACAAATAGGCAAGAAGCACATGAAAAGATGCTCAACATCACTCATCATTGAGGAAATACAAATCAAAATCATAATGAGATACCATTTCATACCCATCAAAATTGCTATTATTTAAAAAATGCCAGAAAATAACAAGTGTTGGCATGGGTCTGGAGAAATTGGAAACCTCATGCATTGCTAATAGTATAAAATGCTCTAGGCACTGTGGAAAATGATATAGCAATTCCTCAAAAAAATTAAACATAGAATTACCATTTGACCCAGCAATCCCACTTGTGGGTATGTACCCAAAATAATTGAAAGCAGGGACTTGAACAGATATTTGTACACCAATGTTCATAGCAGCATTATTCATGGTGGCCAAAAAGTGGAAACCATATACCTGTTCATCAATGGAAGAATTGATAAACCAAATGTGATATATATACACAATGGAATATTAGCCTTAGAATGAAATTCTGACACAAAATGGGTGAACCTTGAAGTCATCATACTAAGTGAAATGTGCCAGACACAAAAGGACGAATATTACATGATTCCACTTAAAAAAGGTATTTAGAATAGTCAAATACATAGAGACAGGAAGTAAGAGAGTGGTTCCCAGGGACTGAGGGGTGGAGGAGAAGTGGGGAGTTACTATTTAATGGATAGAATTTCAATATGAGATGATGAAATGTTCTGAAGATAGTGGTGATGCTTGTGACTATAATTAATGCCACTGAACTTTACACATAAAAATGGTTAAAATTGTAAATTTTATTATATGTAATTTTACCACAATGAGAAAATTTTTAAGTTACTCTCTAAAATTTTGCAAGACTATGTAAACCTCAAATATTCAGTGCCATTCCTGCTATCATAGCCTACAGTATACATTTACACAAAATATTCTTACTGAACATTCTCAGCTATAAAATGGGGACAGGATGGAGGAGGGGGCAGATATAAAATTTGCCTGGGTCACAGGGATCTTTGCACAAGTGCCAAAATTTCCAATAAAAGTTTTTAAGAAAACATTTAATCTTACAGATAATGACAGGAAAATTTATTCAAAAATAGGATAAAATTTTTGTCTATTAAATAAGCAAAGAGTTTTCTGAAAAAACACACTGGGAGCTAGAATGTGCTGATGTATAAACTTTCACAGAAGGTAATTGAGGTACAAACCAATTCAGCCTTTCTTGGTGAGGTATTTGTCAATATATGCTAAAAATATCGATATACTCTGGCCTAGTTATATTTTCTTCTAGGAACTTTTTGTAAAGAAATAATCAGAGAAGTATACAAAGATTTATGCAGAAAGAAGTTTATTCATGGAAGAATTATTCAGTAATCTGAATTCCAACAGTGAGGGTGTGCCTTAATAAATTATGATGCAACAAATCATGTTTTAGACGATTTTTAATGACATGAAGCTAGGCTTAAAATTAAAAAGGATAAAAACCCAAGTCTCTTTTTAATTTTTTTATTTAAGTTTAAATTTTAAAATATGTTTTTTATGTAATTTATGTCTTTCTATAAAAGACCATAAAGAAATGCATCAACATTTTAGTGACTATTACCTGGAGGTGGTGGAATGAAGGATGATTATTTTCTTCTGTATAGTTTTGTGTATCTTCTAAATGTTCTAAAGGAAGCATATTCATTTTAATATTAAGAAAACAAGCATTATAAAAGAAAAAATAAGCTAAAAGGAAGAATGATTAATTATTTACTCTGTGTGTTAGTCTGTGGAATGAATGACTTGGACAACAAAGGTGGGTGATGTGGTTGGGAGAGAGGCAACTATAGTCTGTCTAAAGTACACCTGTGGATGTTTGTTTTGATAAATTTCTTATTTGAAAGCATGCAACTTTTTTATGCTCCACTTATTAGGGCCCATTTATTGTTTAGTTTATCATGTGCACTACCATATTTAGGGGTAGTCGCCTGAATGTTTCAAAGTTTTCATTTTGGAACAATCTAACTTACGAAAATAAAATAAAGAACAAAAGTATGCAGCTCTGTGCTTCAAATAAATAAAAATCAATTCAGACAATTTTAAGAACATTCTCTTCTCCGCTTTTCTTAGGAAAGTAACTCTCACTTTGTTCTGATAAGGTAACTCATGTGAAACTAAGATGTTCTCTTATGACAGTTCTCTTACTAAACAATGTTAAAGGTTAAATGTCACTAGTTAACCAGCTAAATTTTAGGTCTGTTGTTAATTGTGGAAAAATACTGTCTCCTTTTTAAGGTTATGAATTGAGTGACACTTCAGCTAAGGAGATGAATGCGCAAGAAGTTTCTGTCAAATTCAAGGATATAGAAAAGAGGTCAGTTACGTTCATTTAACAAACATATTTTAGTACCCACTAGGTGCCAAACACTCAAAGACACACAGGATTACTTGTCAATAAACCAGTACTTTTGTGATTTCATAATATCAAAATTCATTTAAATTTATATTATTCCTACTTAGAGCCCTTTATATAACTAACTAATAAAAGGTCACCAAATTTTATGCTAAGTTTTTGAAATAATAGGCATTGTATGAATACATTTGTCTATCCACTCTACATATTTGAGAAGGAATAAAATTAACATGAATTTATTTTATGAATCTGCCATTTATATGTGAAATGGTGAACCATTTACTAAATATTTTTTAAGCTTTGATATTTTTACTTATAAAACTGGAATAGTAATGTCATGTATTAAGTATCTAGAATAGAGCCTGCTACATAGTAAATTCTGAATAAATTATAGCTATGGAAATGATTAGTTCTACATTTTTGCTGCCATTTGTAGGATAGAAGAGTCACTGTTGGGTCCTTCTTACTTCTCATTATGAGTCCCTAAGACATTTATGTCACATTTGCTTTTGAATGATAAAACATTCTAAATGCGGTTCCCACTCCACCCGTCAGCTCTAACTTCATTCACATCCATTCACGTATCAGCATCTTGATTACGGCATCGTAGCCCAAACCACCATCATTTCTTGCCTATACTATTGCAATAACCTTCTAATTGGTTTCCCCAGTTCTTCCAGTTCATTCTCAGCATAACAAGAAGAGATTATTTTTAATTTTTATCAATTAGCCGTAGCATAATATTTATAAAATGTGCATAATATGTAAATAACGATACCACAAATGCCCATATACACACCACTCAGTTATAGAAAAAGCTATTATTTTAGTTTTGAGGTCCCCTATATACTGTCATATATCTTATGCCATCCCATCATCTGAGATAACTACTATATTGGATTTTGTGTATTAATATACTCACAAATAATATATTTTTCAGCTTTGTGGGCTTTTGAACTTTAAATAAACGGAATCATTCTGTATGAGCTTCCGTGACTTGCATTTTGTGTTCAACATTATGTCTTTGTCCATTGTGCCTGTAGCTGTTCTTCATTCATTTTTACTGCTAATAGTCCATTGTCATTGTATACATATATCACAGTATCACAGTTTATTTTTCCATTTATAAACAGTAGATTGTTTTCAATTTTTGTGTTTAAAAATTATACTGTGATTAATATGCTTGCACATGTCTTCTGGTACATATATGCAAGAGTTTGATCTTTTTAAAACACAAATTACAATGTTTCTTTTTTCTTTTATAGCCATTTAATGACTTCTCATTACACTGAACATGGAAGGAAAAAATCTTGGTAAAGCTTTAAAAGCCCCTGCCTACCTCTCCAGACTCATCTCTTAATCTCTTTCTCTAGCTGTGCTTCAGTGACACTTGCTTTTTTTTTTTTCCCCAGTTCCTCAAACATGCCATAATCTTTTGACCTGGCTTATACTTCCAGGTTTATACTGCCTGGCTTTAGAGTCAGGTTGAACTAAATCAAGTTGAGCTACATCAACCTCTAGGAATTGGTTGAGACCTCATTATCTTGGCACATGTATTCCTTCTGCCCAAAATGCTTTTCCTCCTATATTTTGCCAAATCTCACTTATCCTTCAAGTCTCAATTTAACAGTTGCTTCTTCAAAGAGGCCTTCTCTGACTCTGACAATCTAGATTAGTTATCCCTGCTGTTATTCTTCATGGTATGCTTGACTCTTCACTCTTTGCACTTACTGTGGTTTAGTATTCATTTTCCTATTCTGTGAAAAAGGGATAGTGCCTGTTTTGTACAGAGTAACTGATATATAGTAGCCGCTCAATAAATATTTGCTGAATGAACTATTATGCATGGCTAGAAATTTCATATAGAATTGTGCTAATGAATGGTACATTAATGTTTGCTAATAAATTCCAGTTAAATTTCAGTTCAGTGGTATATTTTTAGGTTTTTCGTAATTTGTAAATAATTTTATGATAATACTAAATCCTGAACTATGTAAAATGTCTTGAAATCAGGCCCAAACCTCTTGTTCAGCTCCATTACCATCAACCCTGTCACTATAGAATTTCAGAGTCCCACTGACAAAGGATAACTTGGGTTGACCCAGACTGGAGAAGTCTCTCCCCAGATTTCTACTGCCTGGCTTTAGAGCCAGGTTGGACTAAATCAAGTTGAGCTAACTCAACCTCTAGGAACTGGTTGAGAGGAATACAGGGCGAATGACTATTCACTTATGTCTTTTCACATGAAATGAAGAATTATCAGATCCTCTCCCAAAAGACAGGTACATGCTCATCCAATAAACCGACCTAAAATAAAAGTGAAACATATGTACATATATTAAATAAAAATATGTATATAAGATAAAAGTATATATTTAATAGATGTATATTATAAAAGTATATTTACATATATTAAATAAAAACATTAATATATTAAAGGTATATTTTAAATGAAGTTTGACTACAGATGTCTTACACATATAAACATATGTGCTATGGTTCTATTTTCTTGAAAAGTAAAAATAGTAATTATGTGTAATTTATATGACTATTATCATAGGAAAAATTATACATGAGTTCTGAAGCTTTTGTGTCAACACTTAACTGTATTATAGTTTTTAATAATGAAATTTTGACATGATATTGAAATAAATTTCTGAGCTGCTTTCTAAAAGTTTTAACCTCCATCCTTCCCATACATATCTTATTACAGGGATGAAAATACATGGTATCTGGAGAAAAATCCAGATAAATTAGCAGTAATGATTCAAAAACTTTTCGTGTTTGCATTTACTTGGGCATTTGGAGGAACTTTAAACCGTGAAGATGAACATAAAGATGACATACTATTTTGTCCCAGTTTTAAATCTGATTCTCTTGAAAAAGTAACCTATGATTTTGACAAACTTGTTCATGAATTATTTGGAAACAATTCGCAAGTAGGTAAGTTCTGGGGAAAAAATCATGTTTATTGTAGATTACTAATTAAAAACTATACTTGGACTTATATTGATTAGGTCTGTCTTTTAAAAGGTGAAGATTAAAGGTAACAGAGGGGTACTATTTCTTGGATAGATTGTTCATTTTTCTTGATCTTGATTCTTTTTTCTTTACTTTTAGCTGATTAGGTTAATTTGAAAACCTTGTCATCAAGCTCTGAAATTCTTTCTTCTGCTTGGTCTAGTCTGTTATTAAAACTTTCCACTGTATTTTGATATTACCTAAGTGACTCTTTCTTTCCAGGAGTTCTGTTGTATTTTTTCTTATATTATCTATTTCTTTAGTGAATTTTTCATTCACGTCCTGAATTTTTTGTTTGCTTCTTTGTGTTAGTTTTCAACTTTCTCATCAATCCCATTGATCTTACTTGCCATCCATACTCTGAATTCCAAATCTGCCATTTCAATAATTTTAGTTTGGTTGGAATCCACTGCTGGAGAGCTCATATGATCCTTTGGGGGTGTGAAAACAGCCTGATTTTTCATGTTGCCAGAGTTCTTAGTATGCTGGTTCCTTCCCATCTAGATCTTCTTCTTTCTGCCTAAAACAGATAGCTTTTTGGTATACCTGTTCCCCAGTGGAATCTCTGTTGCTCAGTAAAGAGATGGAGAGGTCCCTGGATGGTGTTCTTGCATCCTACTCCAGAAGATTGACCAGGCAGGAGATGGGTGGGTGCACTGTGAGCCTTTAACATTGCTGCTGTCATGCATCTCCTTATCCCCCTGTGTTTGTTATGGGCAGTCTGACACAGCAGGTGCTATCTAGTTGGTGGCAGTGGGAGCCAGGGACCTTAGGCATGTGCTCCACCTGGGTCCCACAGCAGCTCTGGCTGGGTGAGGCCATCGAGGTGGCAGCAGCAGGCCCTGGGTCTGTGGGCACCTGCTCTGCCTGGGTCCCCCAGTGGCAGTGGGGGCATGTGGCACCTGCCCAAAGGATTCATAAGAATGCCTGGCCTCTCTGCTTTCTCTCCAGCCTAGCAGGTGTAATTGGGAGGCATCAGGAACAGATCTGACCCCCAGGTAGATGAAGCATTCTTGGGCTGGGACCTTAAAATGGCAGCAGCCATAGCACCCAGCATCTGGGAACCAGTGGGATCCCACTGTGCCTTCTCTGCAGAGCAGTACCACTACACAGTCTCTGGTAAGCTCCCTGTATCAGACTCGAGGCCTGCTGCAGTGGAGAGATTCTCCCTTAGCTCCAATTGCAGTGTCCCCAGGGCAAGTGTGGAGCCCCCAAATTCTCTTCTCTGTCACTTCCCTGTATATGTGCCTCCCCTGGATACTTTCATCCTGCTGAGCGGGCCATCCCACTTCCCTGTCCTTCAGGTGCTTTGGGTGCTTCCCATCACCTCTCTGTTGATTTCCAATGCTCTCTCCTAGATGATTGATCCAAAGGTGAATATCTACTTGTCACTTTCAGTCCTCTCCATGAGAGTGGCATGTGCAGGCTGCTTCTAGTCCACCATCTTGGCCTAAATCCCCAAGAATTTATATTTCCAACTGTACATAAGCCAGCTGCAAATATTGACACAGTTTGGGTTCCAAAGAAAGCCTCAACAAATTGTAAAGAATGAATGGCATACGTATTACCGTCTATGACCACAATGCAATGAAATTATAGAATAAATATTTTAAAAATCATTTTTGGAAACTTTAAAGTTCCCTTCTAAAAATTCATCGAATAAAGAAAAAAATCATGGAAAGTATAGTAGATTGGGTGTTCTGTAGAGCCTTCTTGTTTAACAAAAAAAGAGCCTGCATAGAACTTAATTATCACTGCATTCCTAGGTTTAAAGAAAGTAAGAGACAACAATTTGTCAAGAAAACTGGAGCTTAAAATAGAGGAGGGAGTTGCAAAGTAAGGTTACCCTTACTTTGGAGTAAAAATGTCAATGTCCTAGCGCTACAAGTAATTTGAGACTAAGACTTAGAACACAAGCAAAATGGAGAGCTGGACTAAAGACTCCCAAATTAAAGTGGAGAGCTCAGCGGAACCTCAAGTGGTCCTGTGTCAGTAGTATTGGCTCCTGGCAAAATAACGAAATCTCTGGAAAAAAGCATCCTAAATTTAGGCCTCCAGATTTCCTACAGGTGAAAAATAAATAAATAAAACACTATATATGAATATATGAGAGTCAATTTAGGTTTATAAAGACTTCAGATGTTAGACTTACTGACTACACAATAAAAAATAACTATGTATAAAATGTTTAAAGAAGTAAAAACAAAAAAGCTAATACAGCAAGCAAACTACCAAAAATGATCAAGCATTTTGAAAAGAAACCAAATATAATTTTTAGAAATTAAATATATAATTATCAAAATTTTAAAGTAAACTACATACATCTTAGAAGTAGTGACCTAAAAGACACATCTTAGTCCATTTGTGCTGTTATAACAAAATACCGTAAGTGAATACTTCCAAACTCATTTTGTGAGGCCAGCATTACCCTGATACCAAAGTCAGATAATGACACAATAAAAAAGAAGACTGCGGTCAATATCCCTTGTAAACATACATGCTAAAATCCTCAACAAAATACTAGCACATTGAATTCAACAGCACGTTATAAAAATCATTCACCATGATCAAGTGGGATTAATCCCAGGGATGCAGGGATGGTTCAACATAAGCAAAGTAATAAATGTGATACATCACATTAAAAGAATGCAGAACAAAAACCACAGGATCATTTCAATAGATACAGAAAAAGCATTTGACAAAATTCAACATGTTTTCATCATCAAAACCCTCAACAAATTAGGTATGGAAAGAATTTACTTCAACACAATCAAGGCCATATATGACAAACCCACAGCTAACATCATACTCATGGGGAAGAGTTGAAAGCCTTTCTAAATTCACAATTGCAAAGATGTGGAAACAACCCAAGTGTCCATCAATACA